GATTAAATTTGTCAAATTAAACTGTTTATGATTACTTGAAACAAATTGGTTTCGTTTCAAAGCTTGATACATGGGTTCCACATGTTCTTAAAGAGAGATGCTCTTTTTGGTGGAATTTTAAGGAAATTTTTTTTGGAGCTTTTACCAGACAATTTAACAATTGATTCGAAAGTGTACTACGAGTAAACAAATTGAGTAATATTATCAAACAGAAAAGGCAGCCAAAATTGATCAACAAAACAGGTGTAGTGTTTTACCATGATAATGTCAAATTTCACACAAGTTTGGTAACTCGTCAGAAACTGTTATAACTTAGATGGGACGTGCTCATCAGTCATATTCTTCAGATCCAGCACACTCAGATTGTTACTTGTTCCGGTCTATACAAATTTTTTTTAACTGTAAGACATTTACTTGAAATGACAATGTCAAAAATCATTCGGATCAGTTTTTTGTAAGCAACAAGCAACTTTTATGAATGTGAAATCATGCTACTACCAGAAACGATGACAACAGATATTTGACCAAAATGGTCAATATATAATTCAATAAAATATTTATTTATTATAAAAAATATTGTTTTTTTTTTCTCACGGAAAAAAAACGAAATTACTTTCCAAACAACCCAATAATCTTAAATTACATATGTAAAATATGCAATACATTAAAATATTTAAATACATTAGAATCTGCTTAATGTAATCAGTTTCACTATATTTATCCTTATTCTTCAGTTAAACAGGCTTTTTTTATAATCTTGCACTCATTCAGTTTAAAATATAATTTTATATACACAATTTCTTGCTCACAAATTTCATTCTATTTAATAACAAAATAATTCACAGTCAGAAAACCTTTAAAAACAGCAAAAAGAATTTAATTATAAACATTTTGGTCACTTTTAAGGACTATCTTCAGGTAGAATACAAAACTGAACTTAGCACAAATGGAATATAACAAATAAACTTCAGAGCATAGAACGCCAGTTGGTTTAAATTAAAAATTAAAATAATAGAATAAAATTACATATAAATACATAGATAAATGATGAAAAAATAAATGTAAATAAAAATTGAAAATAAAATTAAATATGTGGATAAATGATGAAAAATAAGGAAAATTATTGTTGTTTTTAAAGATTTCATGTGTGTCTGAATTTCCATATTTGCAGTTTCTATTTTTAACAAAAGAAAAATGTTTTAAAATGATTTATGATTTAAAAGGGTTCTGAATAACAACACTTTAAAATACTTAGTGTACCCAAAAGTTGAAAATGTTTTTATAAATACTCAGAATCACATCAAGGATGAGGATGTGCAAATTGACAGGCAAACAAGAATTTATTGTATATTTTTTATGTAATTAAATGTAATTTGTGATTAATGGTATCAAAAATTAAGAGAGATATTGAGGCATACCAAAATATTTTGAATTATTCTACTATTTTAACACTAAAATGAAATACCACCAAAAGAGTATGATAACTGTATTATGAATTTAATAAATATCTATGACATTGATGTTATTATTATCAAGAAAGAATCAACAATTTACAAAAAAAAATAACAGAAAATTTAGATTCTCCTTGTACAAAGTGATCCAAGGAAGACTAATTTCTACCTTTCCTACTGTGAACATAATTTTAAAAATATATTTGTCAATTCTTGTTTCCAACACATTAGCAGAGTGATTGTTCAATGTCCTTAAAAGAATTAAAAATGATATTAGAAATTCAATTAGACAAGAAAAATTATGTAACTTGATAATATTATACATCAAGAATGACATTTCAAACAGGATTAATCACAATGAACTGACTAACAATTTCTCAGCTCAGAAAGCACAAAAAGTGAAGATGTAATAAATTTTGTTTATTCATTCCTATAATGTCTTAAAATTTTTCTTTAAATTTTCATTGTAATTGCAAATTTTTAAAAAATTTGTTGTTTTGTTAATATTTTTTTTTAAATTTATAAAAGTGCTTTTTTTTATGTTGTATTAAATGGCTATGGTTCATAAGTACAGTACATAGTATTCTAATTCTTGTTTAATTAATCTACTTTATTATTTGTTTAATTAATCTACTTTATTAATAAAAGTATTAATTCAATCATATTATTTATGAATTTTTCTTGTAGATTACATTTAATTGTTCATAAATGTCATATATCTAATTCTGTTTTGTTTTTAAAGAAACTTTATCTAAAATTGTCTATTTTTTTCTTTTGTTTGGGCAGTTTTCAATTTAAAAGAATACTGGGAATTTTCCAAACATTTTTCCAAAGAAAAATGTCTGAAGTCAAAATATATAGGGTCTCCTATTCAAATTTGTCTGGGTCCCATAAAGCAATAACACACCACTAATATTTTGGTAATTTGATTTACTTTTTTATAATAATTATATAACAATAACTTTAGAATAATTATAATAATTAAAAGATAGAGATTATTCAGTTTGTTTCAATTTTATTTGTATATTAGTAGGAAAATTTTAAAATATTATATTAATAAATAATATTTACCCAATTATCAATTAATTTAGAATTAATATCTAATTTAACATTAAATCTCAACTGACCTTTGGATTAAGTGTATCAATTTCTCCATTTTCTATTCTCCACAAAACATGTTGAGTTTGATCTTCAGCAATTCCAAAATTTAAGCAATGCATTCCAATAAAAAGTTTCTCCCACATCTACAAGATAAAATAATTTTGTATCATTGAATTTAAAAATAAATATATAATTACAAAATGTTTTAAGTTACACAACAAAGTGGATAATTTAGAATATCTTATATTCATTGTATTATGTTTATTTTTAAAGCAATATAATACATTAAAAGTATTCAATGAATGGTTAAATTCATTCACTAAGTTCATGGATGATCATTTAATGAGCATATCTACAGGAAATGCAACAGTATTATCTAACAACACTTGGCTTAGTGACAGTCAAATCAGAGGAATATACTTGTATAGTAAGTAATAATTGATTTAAACATTTTCAAACACCAACAATCCCTCAACAAATAGTTAGTGTTTAAGTTTAAACCTGAAGAAGAGGTATAAACTACCTTAAAAACATTAGTTTTGTTAGTTTGTGCTGGATATCTGAAAAAGTTGTGTTAATCATTCTTTAAATACATCCAATTGGTAATTTTTTCATTAAGTATTCATCTTATTTAAGTAACAAATTAATATTTAGAATCTAATACTTTATTTTCAAAAATTATAAAATAAAATAATGGTTAAGGATAATACATATAATCTAAAAATACATAATACAGTAAAACCTGTCTAAAACAGACCCTGTATAAAAAGGAAGACTGTCTAAATGAAAAATAAACCTTGGACAAAACATTTACTGTGTAAAATACCATCATAATGTGGAAGCCTGTCCAATATGAGAATGAAATACTTAGCAAACCAAGTGTATAACATAAATCTCAGTAAAGTGGAATTTTTGGAGTAACAGCAATTAAATTCTAAATCAGAATTGCTGATGTAATTTGCAGGATCAAATTATAGCTGACTTCTTAGTGATGAGAGCTATGTTCTATCTTTTTTATCTGTTAAGATTGTATTTGCAATGTTTGGAAAATAGCCATGACAATAAAATACAATTTTGTTTGTTACAACTGCTTTCCAAGAACATAACCCTCTATTAAAATAAAAAATATATAAAAAAGCTGTCAAAATTTAAAATTTAAATTATTTTAAAAATTATAACTAATTTATTTATTTACTTTTAGTATTTTATTATAATATTAAGCTAAAAAATTAAATACTAATTAGTGTTAAATAATTTGACTCACATCAGTATGAGCTATCATAGAAACAGTAAAATCTCCAATGAAAAGCACATCAGGTTCTTGTTCAGTTGATTCAATTAGGAAACGCTTATGCTAAAATTGAAAATAAAAAAATGATTTATTATAATGAAAAATAATATTAAATAACTTCAAAATGAACAAAATATTAAATATAAATCAAGAACAGTCTGTGTCATTTGATAGGTATGTCAATTATCATTGGTTACGATTTTCTGTACAGCAGACACATTTTTTGAGACTACTGCTGATACAGGCCTACTTATATGATTTTCATCATATAGATAGCTGTAACCCCTGTGGAATTTTGCAAACCATCTAAATACTGTGGTTCAAGATGGTGTTTTGTTGCAAAAAGCCAATTGTAGATGATCCAGGCATTGTTTTCAAGTTAACCTGACTTTAAAATTATAAAAAATCATTGCTTAATAATGGTATTGTATTAACTCTATGATACTGCAAGTTTCACTTTCTGTTCTATCAGTTATATAACAAGTGCTGCAATCAGCCATTTCCAGAGTCGGTAGATTATCTGGTCTTTCGACTACCTAGCTTCGCTACTTCACTACTAAAATCAACTAGAAACAAATGTTACCACCAGGAACACTGCAATCACTACAAGAGCGTGAGATCGAATCACAGTGAGGTTGAATGTTTTTTTTATTGAAAGGTATATAACCTTTAAGTTCGATTTCATAATTTTTTATATGAATTTTATTATAAGAATGAAAAAGTTTTTATTTAGACTCCAAAACCAGGTTTATAGATAAATAAATGACAATGAACAAAATTGACATATATCCAATTATTAAATTGTGCTATTATTGCTATTATATCAATTTATTATATACTAGCTTACCCGTCACACATTGCTGCGATCTCAGAAGAAACGAAATTCAAGCAAACTCATTATGATAACATTAAATTTACATTTTATCATTTTTATTGAAACTTATTATTATTATTAATTTTCATCGGGAAAACATTTCAAAGTGTTGTTTCAATTCTATTTATTTATTGGAGTGCTTGTGGATACACGATATTTTTTGTTTTTCCGTCTGGTGNCTATTTCCCAAGCTGAAAATGCCGCTAAAAGGAACCGATTTTAGTCGAGAGAAGACATCGCGCGGAATGCGACAGACCGGCTGATGGCCATTCCAAAAGATGTGTTCCAGCAGTGTTTCCAGCAATGGCGGGAACGCTGGGAGAAGTGTATACACTACCAAGGAGACTACTTTGAAGGGGATTAGGGTTTTGTACCTCAAAATCAATAAATGTATTTTTGCCGACCAAAGGTCCAATACTTTTTGAACAGTCCTCGTATATCTAAATCTATATATGCTAATAATTTACAAAATTAGTTATTACAATTGAACTTGGTTAATTCAAATTTTTGGATAATTCAAATTCTACAAATTTCCCTTGAGTTTCCTAATAAATGTAATGTAAAAATTACTTGTTTAATTTTTTCCCCCTAATTTTTGGATAATTTGAAGCAGAAATATCCTATTTTGAAAATTAATAGAGTTTGAAAATTCAAAGCTGGAGTAGCTTAGTTCATACTGAGCAAATAGCAAAAGTGAAACATGAATGTGAAACTGGTTCAGACTGCAAAAAGCTAAAAACAATTGCAAATTTTGAGATCAGTAAAAACAAAGCATTTTCGACATTCTCTTTTTAATCACTGTTGCATATTTGTTACAAAAAATAAAAAATATGTTAAAAAGAAAAGAGGTTGAGTGAAAAATATGTTTAAAAAATGCAAGAGTATCATGCTAATTTTGACATTTGCTCAGTTATGTGATTTTGTAACCATCTTAAAAAACTGTTAGAAACACCCAACAGCAAATGGCACTGTGATAAATGATAAATTTTTTTTTTTAGTGAAAAAGTTCAACAATTTCAAATTTCTGAGCAATTTGCAAAATGGTAGAATTCACTAGAAACAAAGTCATATTGACATGTTATTCACTGTTTTTTCATTTTCACCAGCAATTCGCCCTCAGTGTGAATTAAACTTAACAAGAAAATATGACAACCAAACTAATTACAGTGGGTGATCAGTTAACAAACATAATCTGTTCCAAGACTTTGTTCGCTATCCAAATTGTTCATTAACCAATTATCGATTTACAATAGGTTTTATGAGAATTTGATTAATTTGTTCTGGAGACCCCAGGAAATAAAAAATATATACTTTCTTACTATGTTTATTTATATGTAATAATAAAAATACATATACACAGTCTTGCATTTTTATTACTCATGTTTTTTTCTATTTGTGGGTGTTAAAGAATCTGTCTAATGTCGATTACTTTTCTCTCTTCTTCAGGATTTTTCAGAATTAATTAATAGCATTGTAATTGTAGAGATCTCCAAGCCTATTAACCTCAACCTAGTTTGGATGCCATTTTAAGACCGTCGTTCTGACATCCTCCCACTTCGTCAAAAAAAATGTTTAATAACAGATAGACATTAATACTTTTTTTCAGAAGAAAATATATCTTGCCGTTTCTTAGTGTTCTTCATTCAAGAGTTCTTGGCTTTCTTCTGTCAGATCCGTTTCAGGTTCCATTATGAACTATTCAATGTTCTTTATTTCTGAGATGTGATTTTTGTTACTCCTTTAGCTGCTTGAGTCTTTTTGATTATACAGTACCTTTCTTAGATAAAATTGAACTGTGGCCTACTGTAGACCTGTTCAAGCCATACTGCCCAGCAACATCAGACATTTTCTGCCCACTCTCTACCTTTGCTATTATACCTTTCGAAAATAAAAACTGACACAAAACTTAACAAGTGCCTACCTGACAGTCTTGCAAATACATAAAAGAATTGTTTCTGTCAGAAAAATAAAAAAACTGGAATACAAGGGAGAGTTTTGAAGTTCGGAGGAATACCATCCGATTAGTATATACCGGGTTGAGCATCGATGTCTCTCATGCTCCGAAAAGTTTCGAATTGTTGTCTGAAGACAAGAGAAGACCAATCGGTACGCATTATTTTACATTGCATCTTCCTGTGTTTGTTCTGTGAGGTGTTCATTATCTGAACATAAAAATCTTTCATGAAAGTGTTTGTTATCCAATTTGTTCATTAATCAATCACCCACTGTATATTTTATTGTTATTACTTAATAATTATCAATGAAATTGTTCAATTTGAATTTTGGAAAATTCAAACTATTTTGCATTTCTCTTGAACTTCAAATTAACCAACTTTGATTGTATTGTAAAAATATGAGGGGTGGCTTGTTTAAATTATTTGATTCACTAATTTAGATGATAGATAATGATTTCTTTATTTGCACTAACCACCAAGACCCAAGTAAACAAGAATTTTTACATTTGGAAAAATGTTTTATTTTCTATCGATTCAACTTTTTTTACAAGTTGCATTTCAGCCAATTACTAGTTTGGCCCTCCTCAGTTAACCAAAAATTAAAATTACAATTCTAAAATACATTTTTACTTCTTTTACAAAAATAACTATACTTAGAATTTAAAAGTTTCTGGATATTCACAAATTCAGCATTATTGTTTTTACTGTAGTGAATCAAATAAATCTATATTCTTTAACTGAAAAAATATTTAAAAATGCAAGTTATCCTTGCAAGAATCTATATATCAATAATAAATGCTTTAATGAACTGAAAATTTATGTTAATGCATTCAATGATTTAAATGTCAATGGCATTATAGTTCAATAGTTTAATTCATAATTTTTTTTATAAATTGTACAATGTTAATAGTATTTATATGTTTTTTGAGTATTTCAAATCACATTTATTGACAGGTGGGTTGCATGTATTGTGAAAGGCATTTACAGTAAAAAGCATTAATTAAAATATTTAATGTGTGTCTGTTCAGTTTGTTTGTTTAAACTGATTGCATAATTTTAAGACATTAAAGAATTCTGATTTTACTTTAGTCAATGTAGTATGAGGAGAGCATAAAATATTGTAAAACAGACCAAAACATGTCATGATGGTTACATACAAAATTTTAAAAGCAGTTATGAATCTTTAGGCATGATAAGAATGTAATAATAAAAGAACTTGCAGAATGTTCATGAGTTTGCAAAATTGTGTGTATAAAAGTGATAATTTTTTGTTATCTAGATTTATTTGTTGATTTTACAATAATAAATATTCAAACATGAATAGTTGAATTGAAAAACACCTAACTTGATTTAATTAGAATACATATATTTGTTTTTATTGATTTTATGTGACAGCAGGCTGATAAGTTCTTGGCCAGGCCTTCTTAATAGTATATCTGAAGTAAATGGATGATGTGACACAGAATAAATCTTGATAATAACTTTTGTGAAAATTAACAGGTGTCACACCATTTTGCTGGACACTGCAAAGATAAAAATAGCAGAAAGCAATGTGTGATTTGACAGTTCACACACACTGTTCAAAGAATCATGACCAAATAGAGAAAACTGAAGTTTGAAAGAATCAACATCACCTTATTCTCCTGATTTAAGTCCCTTGGATTATGATCTTTTCCCTTATCTGAATAAACATCTGAAAGGAAAACACACATTCTACAAAGAAATTATGGGAAAACCAGTTTTAAATCTTTTTAATTTGATAGAAACTTTGGAACACCCCTGTAGGGAGTGCATCAAAATAAAAGAAAAATATATTGAATAATAAGTAGTGTACATCATGTATACTTGCTTGCTTCTGTTAGCCCAAAAATTTATCAACCTTCCACAAATATGTATTTATTAATTATTCCAAAAATTCAGTATGGATTTACAAAACAAAGAATAAGTTAAATTCATATACTTGTTGAATCATTAACAAAATTTTCATGATATTGAATTATTATTTCAAAAACTAACTGATATGATTTAGCTTTATATGGGGTTGTTCGGAAAGTAATTTCATTTTTTTTACCACTAGACGAATTAGTCGTATTTTTCCCGCCATTTTCATTCTAAACCATATTATCATTATATATTTTGACAGCTAGCATTTTAAGGCTTATTTGTAAAAAAATTTTGTTTGATTTTGTGCAATTGTTTATTTTTTGTGTCTCATCAAATATGGAAGATCAAAA